AATTAGGTATAAATTTCAGGAAAAAAGTAAAATACAGGCAAATTAAACATCTGAAAAATAAAAGGTTAATCTGCTAGTTTCAAAGTAAAAATTGTTATCAGTAACACATTTTCATGTTCAAATAAATCTGAGTTAAAAGGAAAAATGTTAGGTTTTATGTATTAGACAAAAAAGGAAAAAATTAGAAGTCCTTAGAAAGAAATTTGAGGGGCTGGAGATGGCCCAGCGGTTAGGAGCACTGACTGCTCTCTGCAGAGGACCCGGGTTCGATTCCCAGCACCTACATGGCAGCTACAAACCGACCTTAACTCCAGTTCCAGGGGAATCTGAAGCCCTCTTCTGACCTCCATGGCATTGCATGACACAGGTGCACTCACATACACGCAGGCAATACACTCATACACATAAAATAAAATAATAAATAAAAATACTTAAAAAAAAGGAACTATCCAAGGGCTAACCTCATTCTTCTCTGGCTTCTACAACCCAGAACCCAAGGGTAGGTTCTCAGCTGAGAGCAAAGAGGACACTAGGATCAGGGTGGGCCATCCTGAGCTTCGGTGACTAACTCAGGCTATTCTCTTACTCCTGAGGTCCCAGGACTTAGACCTACTCTGCTGGGTTGGGGAAGAGCACCCACACTGGAGACCCTCATTCCTACCCCTCAGAAAGTAGGAAGCCCTTACTCTTCCACTGCCAGAGGAGAGAGCAGAATCTAGGTCATGACTCCCTTTCCCCACTGACTCCAAGACCATCCCCTCAAAGGGGCTTACTCCAACCTCAGCTCTGCCCTCTCCACCCTCCTTACCTGGGGAGACTACAGGTGACAGGCCCTGCCCAGGAAGCTCCACAGGCCATTCCTGCTCTAGCTCTCAACAAAAGGCATTTTGGGTGCCTTACCCTGCACAATACTGAAAAGTGCCTCTGGATTGTCTTTCAGGCTTCTCTTCCCTTCTCTTTCCAAGACAGCCCAGCTTCAGTCCTTGCTTGTACCACTGCTCTGTGTCTCCATCATCTTGCCTCTCTGTTCACAGGGTAAAGGCAACATGCCTGGCCTCTTTTTAAATTTTTTTAAAAATTTTATGTACATGAGTGTTTTGCCAGCATGTAAGTATACCTGTGCCAGCTGGGTGTGGTGGTGCATGCCTTTAGTCCCAGCACTTGGGAGGCAGAGGCAGGTGGGTCTCTGTGAGTTCAAGGCCAGCCTGGTCTACATAGTGAGTTCCAGGCCAGCTGGGGCTACAGGGACCCCATGTCTCAAAAAGACCAAAAAAAAAAAAAAAAGTATACCTGTGTCATGCCATCCCTGTGGAGGCCAGAAGAAGGTATCAGATCCCCTGAAACTGGAGTTATGGATGGTTATTAGCTGCCATGTAGGTGTGGGGAGCCGGACCCAGGTCCTCTGCAAGAGCAGCTACTGCTCTTAACTGCTGAGTCATCTCTCCATACCCAGCTTTCACTTTTAACACAGGGTCTCACTAAATTGCACAGGTTGGCCTTGACTCCCTCCTGAAGCCCAGGAGCTTTGGCCCAGGCCTTGAACTTTAATCCTCTCCCTTTAGTCTCTTGAGCAGCCCAGATTACAGGCCTATGCCACCAGGCCAAGCTCTTCTGGTGGTACCAGGACTGCCATTTCTTTTGCTGACTCAAGCTACATTCCCAGGACAGGACCTGAGAACTACTTGCCTGGTTGATTGACGTAGCACACTGGGTCATGAGAATCAAGGATGTTACAGTCCATTAATCCCACATAACTGTAGTTGCTCCTGCAGCTAGCTGCCTATCAGCTCCTAGGAGCTGCTCCCCATACTTAAACTCAGTGCATGTTCCAGGGAAGCAGAGGGTTAGAAGCCATGCTTAGGGAAGATTCTGGGGTAGCCAGGCCCTAAAAGTACAGTTTCTGTTCTCCCAACAGGCCTGAGCCTTGAAATGAATCCTGAGACAACACCAAACCTCAGGGCTAAAGTGAGGACATACCCTGGGGGGCCAGGATGATGCTCAGCTACTGGCCCAGGGGCACCATTCCTCTGGTTGCTCAGGCCCAGCTTTTGGAATACAGTTCCTACTAGAAGATGGGCCCTGATGTGGTCACAACCTGCTAGTTCCACTGTTGTCAATGGTGTCTTTCTGTGGTTTTTCTGATTCCCAGGATGACTGCCCCTAGCTTGTGCCTGAACCCTTGAGCTAGACAATGTCTCACCCTGAGGTCTCTGCCTGGGAAAAAAGGATAGCTTGTGAGTCTGCTCACCTGGACAGAGCTGGAACTACCACAGCAGTAACCTCAGGGCTCAGTTGACCTCTTCCCTGATTGGAAAGGGCAACCTGGGTAGATACCGTGCTTTTTGAGTAAAGCCCATACTGTCAGGTGCAGGTTTTGCTTTTTTTTGGGGGGGGGTCTATTTGAGACAGGATCTCCCTGTAGCCCCAGCTCCTGGAACTCACTATGTAGACCAGGCTGGTCTTGAACTCACAGAGATCCGCCCGCCTCTACCTCCCAAGTGCTGGGATTAAAGGCATGCACCACCACGCCTGGCTAGGTTTTGCTTTTTAAAGTGAACCTATGGAACCAACAGCCTTGCACAACAGATGATCTTGGGACAAAACCTCCCATTTATAAGAACTTCTGTAATGTGTAAAGTGTTCCATGTCACAGTGTTATACATTACAGCAAATACTGCTGGCTTCAGGCTACTTAGTCCCCATATCTACCCTCAGCTGCTATAAAATGTCTGAGCCCCAAGTCTTGCCCCTGTCCCAAGAGGAAGGGTATTCTCGTTCACTGGGTGGGGACTCCCAGTCAAGCTGCAGCCATGAACTAGGCCACTCCTAGTCCCCTGAAGGATGGCCCCACCGCTGCTTGCGGACTCTGTGACAGGCTGCTGGTAGCTTCAATATCCTCTCTGGGGCTCCTGGACACACAGCTTTGTGGAACTATGCCTGGACATCAGAGTTCCCAGAGGCTCTGGGGCACTTGGTGATGCTAATCCCCAACTCAGAGCAGAAGGGGAAGGAGTTAAAGGGTCAAGGGTGACCTGGGCCAGACGGAGCCCAGCTAGGGTGCCTCAGCTGTCACTCGGGCCTTCGCTGCTTGCGCTGCCTCCGCCGCTGCACGGCCTGGTACAGGGCCTCCCGCAGCCTTTCCTGGTTATTGCAGATGTTGTAATGCGTTAGGCTTAGCAGCTTGTCCACGTCCTCTTGGCTGTAGGTCACTTTTGTGTAGTGGTATGGAGAGTCAGAAGAAGACAGATTCACTTCTCCAGCTGTCTTTTCCTCCTGTGTTCGTGGTACCCCTGTGGAGAGAAGAGGGCAGCCTGGGTAGGGAGAAGTGTACTGGGGGCAGGGCCTGGGGTCACCTGTATTGAGGCAAGAAGGCTGGAGGAGGGGTGGCCATGGCTTACCAGGGGCAGAGTACTCCCTGAAGGAGTTGTTGACCAGAGGGAAATGCAGCACTGCTGGGGCTTCTGGCTGGGCAGGGTCACAGAACACATGGCACTCCCCAGGCCGATGCTGCTCCTCAGGGCTGGGTAAGATAGGAGGGAACGGAATGCCCTGCTGCTGACAGAAGCGGTCCAGGAGCTGCAACTGCTGCTGGGCAGATAGAGGGAGCATCAGAGGGACCTCCAGGGCATCCTTGTGCTCAACACAAGGCTGACTAAAAGAACATTCACCAAGATGATCAGGACTTGGTGCCCAAAGACCAAGTTAGAGATTCCAGTGGATACAGAGTCCCACGATTCTGACAAAAGCTGGAAACCTGACTGTGCTTCTCCCTTGTAGCTCCTCTGAAGTTCCCCTGAGCTAGCAGTCAACAGCTCTCTGAAAGTGAAAGTCAAAACTTCTCTCTGGAGCCACAAAGAGCTGCAAAGCAGATGTGCTGGGACTGTAGCAGGGTTCAGGCACAGCAGAGACAGCCCTGGTACAAGATACGTGAAAATATACCAACTACCCAGAACCCTAGTCCCTGAGCAGAGTGAGTTGCCCCAGTAGGAGGCTAAAAAAAAAAATCTAGGATTCAAGCCACATAGTGCTATTGCATTGCCCCCCATGAAAAGCTGGACCAGAAGCAGATTACTGGACTTTAGAGCAGATCTCATTATGGAACTACCACCTCCCAGGCCTGCCCCACCTTCAGGACCTTCCTCCTTTCCCAACCTGAAAGGCTCCGTGGAGGTTGTAGTCCAGTGACAGGATGAGGTCCACGTCCCGTGTGGGCTGCAGAAGTGGTGGGCAGCTGGTATTGATTAAGTAGCCAACATCCAACAGGCAGAGGTGAGGCTCCATGGGAGTCAGTTGGTTGGGGAGCCCATCCAGTTTGGTAGCTGCAAAGGTTTGGGGTTAGGGTGGTAGAGGCAGCAACTATCACTGAAGGCTCAGACTTCTTGAGGCCCATAGAGATGCCCCTGGCCCCTGCAGTCCTGCCAAAGAAGCACACTCAGGGCCTGTAGCCCCAACCCAGGGAGAGAGGAAAGAAGAACCTACATTCCACAGTCCAGGATAAGGGGCCAAGGAGAGTAGGGGTGTCTGTGTCAGAGCCCTGAGGCTCAGGCCACTATGGGAGACAGGAGAGCACAGGCTGAGTAGCGAAGCAGATACCCTTCCAAGTGGAGAAGTGAGGATGATGGAAATAATCCTTGTGGAAATGGAGGCCACGCAGAAAATTATGGGTGGCCTGGGCAAGTGGTCGCTTTGTCAGGAGGTCAGTGAAAAATCCAGCAATCCTGCCAGCTGTTGTGGGTGGTTCTCCGATCTTCAGATGGGGGACCTGCTCTTTGTCTGCACAGGCAACAGAGTGGGATGAGGGGATAAAAGTGTGTCAGGAAATGGGGGCCCTAGACCATTTATCCCAACCTCTGTGGTGACCCTGGAAAGGGAGTAGTTGAGGTCCCCAAAGGCCTGAGAGCTACCTCCACAATACCCCAAAGATACCCCAACTGGCTGCTCCTCTCTGTCCTATAGAGAAGCCCAAGCACCTACCCAGGCTGGCCTGATCCTGGGCCCAACGGTCCCAGAATTGACTGGGTTCTGAGGACCAATACAGGCTGTCTTGGAGGCTGGCTGCAAATAGGTTGCTCCAGATACCTGAGAAGGGGATATGAAATGAGGAGTCCCCAACTGCTCTTACAATCTGACCCTTCTCCATGGCCTAGCCTGGGCCAGGAAATGTTTCCCTCTTACCCAGGCCTGCTCTCCCCAGCCACCCAGTTATCCAACCTTCCAGCCTCTTCACCTTCCAGGAAGCAGATGCGGGACTCAGGGAGCTGCTTCACCAGCCGCCCCATGAAGAACTCAGAGCCAAAGAGCTCAGAGGGGATGAAGGCGCCATACTTGGGGAAGCCGACTTCGTAGGGGGAGAACTCGCACCATTCTGTGAGGAGGCCACATACCTCAGCCATGGAGCCCAAGGCCATCAGGCACTTGGACCCCTAGGAGGGCAGCCTGGGGACCCGGATACTCAGGCCTTGTTACTATGCCTTTAAACACAGGACTGAAAGTCTCTTCTCTGTCTCAAAAGTGTCTGAATTGGAAGAATGACAGTCTTTGGAACTTTGGCCAGAAGAAGTGGGCATAAGATTCACCTCCTGTATGCAGGTTTGGTCACACTGCACCCCCACCACCCATAGGAGCACAGGCTCCTGCTCTGAAGCCACTTACCCCCAAATTCAAAGGTCGTCAGGCCCTGCTCCTTGCTGTTGAGGGCACAGTAGATAGGCAGAGGGTTCTGGCCTCGACTCAGGGCCTCCCGTTGATCAGAGAGTTTGTGCTCATGGGGCTGAGGGAAAGGGGAGTACAACCTAAGCCCATAGCTTCCTAGTGCTTGGAGCCTTTTAGTCTTGTCACCCAGGGTTGGGTGCATTCAGGGTGGCTGTGCCCTGGCTTTACCCCTCTGGGCCCACACCTCATCATGTAGCAGTGCCTCGTTGATGAGGGACCATAGGTTGGTGAAGCAGGTCGGATAGCCTAGGCGAGCGCGCTCAGCCAGCTCCTGCTGGTATCGCCTCAGCTGGCTGGGGGCCAGTGCACCCAGCTTGCTCTTTGTCACCTGAGTCTTCAGCAACTTGGTAGGACCTGCGAGGTCCTTCTGAGACCACTCTGGATCCTCATAGAGGTTGGCCAAGGCCCTGGGGAAAGTCAAAACCCAGGGTGGAGGTTGTCACCAAAGAACCCCATCTAGACTTCACATGCCTTGGACTTTCTCTTAGCGGACAAGAGTCTGGCAGGCACCTTCAAGTTCCCTGGAGCACATTGCTCCCTGGCCCCAGCAGGTTCCCAGCCCTTCTAATTTTCTTAAAAGCCTATAGGGTTTAGGAGCTCCTCCTAAGCCTCCTAGTCACCACACTCCCGCCTGTAGCTCTCCAACCAGCTCACCAGGTGGAGCCCGAGGCCCCAGTGATGTAGGAGATGCAGTCCAAAAGGCCTAGCTCCCTGAGGCCAGCCAGATGCCCATATAAGGAAGTCATTGCCCGGATCCCACCACCAGTGGCCATAACAGCGACCACTGGGATCTGGAAGAGAGGACAGGTTTGGAAAGTCCTGAGGGACAGAGAAAGCCACACTTTGGGAAGAGAGTGTGATCATCAAAGGACCAGCTGAGTCACTCCTATTGAGGATTTTGTCAGAAACAGCCTCCTATGGGTGCTTCTCCAAGCATGAAGGCTCCAGGAAGAACAGCCTAACAAATGCCAGCCCTTACCGCCCACCACCAGCCCATAAGGAGTCTAGGATCACTTTCTGGAAGCCTCCAAGTCCCCTGTGAAAGTCTCCCAAATGATCCTATCTCCAATGCTGGAAGTCATTCCCCTAGGAGATGACCCAGGCTGATCTGAATCTCTGGGGACTACTCTGGGCCAGAAGGCCATCCTCATACCAAGCATCTGCCTCACTCATCAGTCAGACAGAGCCCAGTCTCAAATCCTAGTCCAGGCAGAAAACCAAGAAACAAAAGAAGGTCATCCCATGTGGAAATTCCCATTTGTGAGTGGCAGGTGCCTCGGGCAGCTCCGCATGTATCAACCTCTGATAACATTGAGGCAGAGGAAGTAGAGCAGGGCAGAAAGGGCTTGCCAGTGATAAGCCCATGTTGGCACCAGCTCTGGGCTGCTTATGAACAACTATCCCAGTGTTTTGCCCCAGGCTCTGGGCACTAAGCCCTGAGCCCAAGCAGCACAAGGAAGATCCCACCAAGTCCTGCTCAACCCCCAGACCTCGTCCTCCTGTAAGTCTTGGCCCAGCTGCAGGACTTGTTTCAGGGCTGTGGCCACCATCTGTTTTCTCCTGCTTAGGAAGGCCTGCTCTTCCGGGCAGGGCCCACAGTCCAGTCGCACAGCCAGCTCCCTTGGTCTGAAGAAAAGGAAGAGACCCAGAGGCAATTCTCAGCCCCACCACAGAAAAGCAAGCTGGTCAGCTTCACCTGCCAGGCCCCTGCCCTCTCTCCTCAGCCCACGCCATTACTTGCTGTGGAGTGAGAGGGGAGAAGGAGAATCCAGAGCCATGTACACAAATGACTGGTAAAGAAGACTTGTGGGCCTGGCAACATGGAGGCTGAGAGAGCACCCAGATCCCACTGCTGGGACTCAACCTTGGACCCCACCTCTAAATCAAATCTCTCCCTCACTCACAATTCCAAAAATAATGGCAGAGGGGGCAGAAAGAAGGTCCAGTGTCCCCACCTCTTTGGGATGAAAAGCCACTCCCCAAGACAGGGAGGGTTGATGGACTCTTCTGAAAGGCATTTAAGGTCTCTCCACAACAGCTTCCACCCAAAGGAACATCACTCCCCTTCCTCTTGGTTTCCTTGCTCTCTGTGCCTCAGACCCTGGCACCGTCCTCACCTCCCTGCTGGCTTGTCCAGTACATACTGATCCTGGGTTTTCCCAGGGGTGGGTGCTGGGTAGAGCCCACCCTTCCCCTGGAACAGAAGTCCAAGGACAAACACCAAGAACAGCCTGTCCTTGATGAGGCCTACTGCTGGTATTTTTTACTGTACCTGATGCAAAGTCCCAAGCACCTTTGGAAGGATTTCATGGCAAGCACACAGGAACTGCTCCATTTCCCACTTGTGCTCATCCTCCAGGCCAGATATCTGACCTTCACCACCCCTGCCTGATTGTCATCCCAGTGGCTTTCTCATCCCTAGTCAGACTCTCACCCTTCTTCCTTCTTCAGTTGCACCCTCATCAGTGGCTCCTGGAAACCATGAGTACCACAATCATAAAAGCTGGCCACTTCCACCCACTGTTCCTCCCACCTGGCCCCAGCACATCCCAAACAGCCCCATGTAACCTCCAGCCCCAAACACCTTCACAGGGGCCACACTTCCACCCAGAAGGAGTCCCCAGCGCTTGTCTGGAGCGTGGCCTGAGGGGAGAACTGGCCACAAAAGTAAGTCGATCTCTTTAATGCCAGGCCAGGGCCAGCACCAGTCCTGTCCACACACCCAGCTTTCCTTCTCTTAGGTGACCAGTACCTGGGATGTGGGGAAGACGAGTGTCACCAACTGTGAAGAGGGCAGGGCTCGTAGTGGTACCTTCAATTGCTCCTGGGGGTCATCCTTCAGGAGGAGGGGGCACCCATGAGTCATTACCCCTCCTTTCTTAGCAAAGACCCATCAACTCCCTTGACAATAGAGGTGCAGTAGGGAGGGGAACAGGAGGTCGATATCACCCCCCAAAACTGGGTCCAGTGACCTGACTGATGGGAGACATACAAGGGAGTGGGGCTAGGTGAGTACAGCTCAGGAAAGGAGGAGATGCTTGGAGAAGAGGGACAGAAGATTCTAGGGGTTCCAGGAGCAAGGCATACTACCTTCAGATGAATGCTCAGCTCTTGCTCCCAGAAGGCCGGACTATGGAATCTGAAAGAGCCAGTGCCCACAGAGAAATCCTGTGGGCTCTCACAGGCCCCAGGAACCACAAGTTGAACTCTGCCCTCTGATCCTGGAAACAGGAACCAGAGCTGAAACTTGGGATGGGATCTCTGACCAAGGAATCTCTCATCCAGCCTGCAAGGAATTCCCTCTCTCTCAGTCATAGTCCTGGCCCCTCTGAAAACCATGGGGAAGACACTTGGGTCTTGGGGAGCCCCAGCACAGACTTGTCTGCCAACCCTGATTCCTGCCTTTGGGAACTGAAAGTAGCCAGTGTAATGTTGCCCCCTTAGAAAGGAGGAAGAGACACTGAATGAAGGAGGAGGGGCTGCCTAAGTAGACTGGGACTTACCCTGTGGGGCTCCTGTCCTTGTCAGTTGAACATGCAAGCAGGAGAGCTCCCGGGCCTGTGTCAAAAGAACTCCTCAGACACAAGCTGCACCCCTCTCTGGGATTCTACCCTGCTGGCCCATGGTCCTTACTTCCCAGCACTTTCTTACGTCACCCTCAATCACTAAGCATTTGCTTGAGATTTACTCCCTTGGGATATCCCAGGAGCCCCAAACTCAGCTTATATGACCCAAGCTATGACGGGCCTGAGCTTAAGGCCTGGGAAGAGGAGCAGATGGCATGAGGAACGAGCTCACTGCTCCCCCCAGCTCACCCTAGAGCACCATTCTTCACTCACCACCAGGATGCCATTGCTGATGAGCTGTTCTGCACAATCTGTCCTGTAAAGAGTCCCCAATGACCTTCTGCAAGAGCCTGGAACCCAGGCACTCCTCCTCTACCAGGGAGGGGTGCCAGACTTGGTAACTGGCATTGTCTTTCCAAGAAGGAAGCTCCCCACTGCCACCCACCAAGTTCTCCAGAGCCCAACTCACAGAGTCTGCAGCCGAAATTCAACTTCCAGCCGTCCCTCACCCTGGAGAGAGAAGCAAATTAAAAGAACTAGCAACCCAGATCTCAGTGGAAGCTGCTGAGACCATAGTGGTGGTGAAGGCTGTCCCTCTTAAGTCCATACTCTTTAGCCTGCCCCAAGGAAGTTGTCCTTTGACTCAGAAGCCAAGAAAGAGGAGTCCTGTCCATCGGACAGGACTGCTCCTTGGTGAAAAGTCTCTTGGGATACCTGGGCCACTCCCTGGAACAGAGGGTCCTATACTGCCTACCTTCCAAAGCCTCACTCCAAGAGTTGGGAGCCCCAACTTCCCTGAGCACAGCCTTGCCTGCGAATTCAGTGAGAAGCTCTGGCGCCGAGACTCCCCAGCTCGTAGTGTCCCCACATCAAACAGCACTGACAACACAGGGTCATCTTTGGTCAACAGATCCTGGTCAAAGACTTTCAGCTCCACAATATTCTGGAAGAGGAACAGAGAGAGGTAGCTACAGGAAGGAGGAGTAGGAATGAGAGATTGACAGACACAGGTGGCAGTGGGTGTGTGGGGACAAAAGTAGGGCTAGGTTTGATGCCTGGGCTACCTTGAGCTGCCTGTGGATCTGGAAGTGGAAGTTCTGATTCCAGATGGGGTTTCTGCTGTTCTTGACTGTGCGTGTCTGGAGTATGTGGCTGGAGGCCGTGGGCAGCCACAGAGTCACATAGCAGTCAGCAGGTGTCACTGCAGGAAGGAGGAACACATGCCCTGTGATGGCCAACAGTCCTTCCCAGCCTATCACTGAGTCTACTTCCTTCTACCCTCTGAGACTTTGTGTCCATGAATCTCTGCCACATTCAGGAACCTTCTTCCAGCACCCTCCTGTAGGATCCTCTACCAGACCAGATCTCCTCATAGCTCCTTCCACTGAGGCACTGCCCACCCTGAATTCAGTTGCACCTCCTTCCCTTCTGTTCCCTGGGCCCCACTAAGGGTCAGGGAAGTCTTGTACTTACCTAGGTCCTTGGAAGGCAGGCCATAGGCCTGGAGGACACGCACAGTGAGCAGGCATGTCCCTGGCACCTTTGCCTATGGAGAGACAGGCAGGTTTGCTGCAGATAGATGGTGCCAAATGTGACAGGGCCACAGAGGAGGCTGGGACAGCCCCACAGGACTTAATCTTCTACCAACAAGGCCAGACCCACTCAAACCTAGGTTCGACCCTCCACCATTAGAATCCTACAGTGAGTGACAGGAGACATGGTATCACCACACTGATACTTTTCTCTCAAACCACTCTGCATGAGCTCTACATCAAGGACATGGTGTCCATTTAATCATTTATTACCCAGCAACCCTATGAACCCTATTACAATGACCAACCCTGAAAGGAAACTGAGGCCACTTGCCCAGGGTCTAGTTAGGACCAGAACATAGGCAAGCTAGCTTGTTAATGTCCCACACACTACTGGGTAGGACAGCCTTTGTCTTGCCACCTAATAGCCTCTCTACACACCCCAACTAAGTAGCTTTGAGGCTTTTCTTAGGTGCAGGAACTGGAAGTTATCGAGGAACAGGAAGGGACACGTCAGGGCCTTGGGTGCCATGGATGAGCTGCTCTCTGTACTGTCTACCCCATCCTGGAAACAGACTCTACAGAAATGGGACAGTAGCTACCAACTCAGACCACACACATGGTGCCATCCTCCAGGTCTGATGGTCTCCATAGCTCCTTCCATATCCCCTCTGCTTCTGAAGGGCCAGTGTGCCAAGGCAAGGGAAGCCTGTGCCACCAAGTCCTTCCTTTTGGTCTTCAGCCATATCTCTGGAAGGGTGCCTCTGGATCAAGTTCAGGAAGCTTCAGGATTAGTCTTTTTACATGAGGCAGCCTGGAGCGCCCCACACCAAACAACTGCATCAGGAGCGTGGAGTAGCTGCTTCTCTCTAGGGCTCCCAGGACAGTAGACAGAAGCCTCAGAGATCCCAGAGCTCAAATCCAGGGAGTTCTGCCTGGAACCCATTCCCAAGCCCTAGCCTCACCCCTGGCTTCTGCTGTGTCTGGTCCTGTGGTTGGCAAACATCCATACCTCTACCTAGAGAAACCCACAGCTCCTCTAAGAAACAGCAATCGTCAGGTCCTGGATGGGGAGTCAAGTTAGAAGTGGGGGCCCGGTGCCCTGTGGAGCCTTACCAGAGCCATGAGACCAAGTCCTCAGGAGCAGGAATGATGGGGCAGTGACCACAGGACCAATGACTATCAGCTTTTAATCCAGAGCCAAGATGAACCAACTGGCCATATATTCCTCTCTGATCCCTCCCACTGACTCCCTCGCTCCACCCAAGCCCCACGCCCACTACTGACCCAGCCACCTGCCCAGGAAATGAGGCACCTTAAGCCTATGCTGGAGCCAGTTACACCTCCTGGAGTTAGCCACAAGCTCCCACTTTTTGTAGCTGAAGTCCTACTCTTTGTAGCTGTTTCTGGCTGGACTCACTAACTTAGAGGAGAGGGCTCCAGGAGACCTTGCTGTCAGGCTGAGCAGACAGACAGCAGACAGTGGCCCTCAGAGCAGCACTGAACAGAGGGGCCAAGTGTCATGTTGTTAGTGGGGACTTTCGCAACCTCCCTCCCAGTGCCAGTATGACAGGAATGCCCAGTCTGAACTGGAGCCCTGGGCAATCTGAGTGGAGTACCTCAGGCCCCATCACAACCTTGTAGGGGAGTGGCTGTCACATAAAACAGCCCTTCAAAGCCACATCTGGGCTGCCTCCACCCCTGGAACTGGGTGGCTAGGGATGAGGCCTGAGGGTTGGCATGCAGTGGGGACAGGAGCTCTTCCTGCTCTTCGGCTGGGTGAGGAGGAGTCTGGGTGTGGGGACCAACTCTTTCCTCAGAGGGATGGCCCCCAAGAGGAGCAGGGCTTCTTTTCTTCCTGCTTGTATGTGTAGGATAAATACGGATACTCCCAGGGCTCTGGACCCCACCAGCTTTCCTGAATCTGGTGAAGGACAGGCAAACCAGTCTAGGGCAAAGCTAGAGACAGCAGTAGTGGCCTTGAGACAGTGAGGTCCCAGCCTGCCAGTTACAACACAACTGTAGTAGGTAGCTCCCAAGCCTGGATCGGGTCTGCATCCACAATCAGGGTCACCCTGAAATTTTTACCTAAGCCCTCAGCAGGTCATGGAAAGCAACTGTGACAGGGAGTGTGAGAACAAATGAATCACGGTCACCTTTTATTGACTACTTCCTCTGTTGGCCTGACAAATATTACCTCCATCCCCCACAACAGCCCCAGGAGGTGGAACCATTATTATCTCTGCTTTATAGCTGGAACACTGAGGCCAACAGGTGGTGACTTGTCTTCCAAAATCATAGCACAAGAGGCATTGCTGCACCTGATCCATGCTTCCTCTTCATCTGTGTGGCAACTTCCTGTGCACCTTCACCCAGACCCACCTGGCATCTCCTGGTCCTCCAATTACATTCCAAGTTTCTATAAGGTGGATGTCAACCAGAGCCAGAACCTGGGTGGCAGCCAGTATATATTCAAACTCCAGGATGCCTCTAGAATCAAACCCCTGCTCCCATTTCAGTTGTTCTTTGCAGTGTTTGCCAAGCCCCATCAGTAGAGGCCTGCAGCCTTAGTGAGGGAGTCCACCAGCTGGAAGTAACTGTATTTGAGGTCATATTCCATGTCATACCAGAAGTTCACTGTGGGGAGAAAGGGACCTGGATGTGAGGGCTCCCTTATTTAACCTAGAGCCACCCACACCTCCAACAGACAACTTGCTGGGTCATGGCAAAGCCTGTCTGTGGGTGACCTGAGTGCTCCTCACCAGCAATACAGCCATGGGACTGCTGAACATGGTGGAACCACAGAGCCGGCAGGTAGAGCAGTTCACCAGCCCGCACTGTGCAGCGAAGGGCCTGCACCTGGCTGTAACTGGGGTACCGGGCCAGGTCTGGAGTTAAGGGGTCCAGTGGGATCCAGGGTACCTAGAAACATAGCAGATGCCAGGGAACAGGCCCTGAGGCCCCAGGCTCTCTAGCTCTGTGTCTTTCAAGGGTAAATACCATTGACCCCACTCCCCTCAGCACTGAAGATTTTCGGAGCAGGATCTCACCTCCCTAGACCTTTCATGCCTATTCCTCCAGGGTCTACCTCCCTCCCCAGAGCCCCCAAAGAGGACAGACACCTTCTCCATGGCTTCCTCATCCACCACCTTAAAAGTGCCCTCTTCCGTCAGCTGGTAGGTAGCTGGTGTGTAGAGCTCTGAAGGTAGGACAGGGGAGAAAGGTGAGGAGAACTTTGAGTGGACCTCAGCTTGCCAGCCCCCCACCTCCCCGCCAATGAATCCCATGTTTGAGAGCAGACATAAGAGAGCTGGGGTACTGTGGTTATACCTCAGGCCTGGGCACTAGCCTACCCAGAGCTCTTGCTGCCTTCCCTCACCACTGGCTACCAGCTCCCTTTAGGTCATGCCACTTACCATAGGGGATGAAGGGCCGGTCACTGGGTGGATGTAACAAGAAGTGTTTCTCACCAGAGACCACACAGTACAGGTTCTCATAGTGGTCCTTGTGCACTGTTGACACAAGGAAGGTCTAGGGTTGGGGGGACAGCCTGCCCTTCCCTCAGCCCCACACCCCAACACTGTCTATAGAGAAAGGAAGAGCCCTCAGAAGATCAGAAGACTTGGGGCTGGAGAGATGGCTCAGCAGTTAAGAGCACTGACTGCTCTTGCAGAGGACCTGGGTTCAAATCCCAGCACCCACATGGAAGCTAACAATCATCTGTAACTCCAGTTCCAGGGGATCTGATGCCCTCTTCTGATGTGGGCATTGCACGACATGGGTGCACTTACATTCATGCAGGCAATATACTCATATACATAAAATGAAAATAATAAATATAATATTTAAAAATAGAAAGGGCTGGGCATGGTGGCACACACCTTTAGTCCCAGCATTTGGGAGGCAGAGGCAGGCAGATCTCTGTGAGTTCAAGGCCAGCCTGGTCTACATAGTGAGTTCCAGGACAGTTAGTGCTACAGGGAGACCCTGTCTCAAAAAGACCAAAAAAAAAAAAAGAAAGAAAGAAAGAAAAAGAAAGAAAAGGAAGGAAGGAAGAAGAGGAAGAGGGAAGGGAGGGAGGGAGGGAGGGAGGGAGGAAGGGAGGGAAGGAAGGAAGGTCAACAGACTTGAAGAGACTCTAAGGACTCTGGCAGGCATCACAGAACTTAGCTACCAGGGACTAGATTCTGGCCAGGCCCTGGGCTAAAGTTAACAGACTTCTCCTAATCTCTGCTCTCCCCATTGACCTGACTTTTGGAGAGGCTTCTAGAGACCTAGACGATATAGTCCATGCCACCCTAATGCCTCAGCCATCAGGCAAGACTCTCAGTGGTGTCCTAGTCCCAGAATCCCAAAAGAAATCTGGAAAACAGTCAATCCTTCTGAAGCCCAATCCTCCACTCTCTCCTCCATCTTCCCTTCCTCAGCCCCACCAGATCCTTCCCTACTTCTGGGTTCCCTATACCTACAGGATGTCACTGCAGCTGCCTCACCCAGCCAGAAGTTCAGAGCATCAGGCATCTTTCCTGTGGAGCAGAGTGAGAATTAGTGCCAGGTTGGGGACCACCCATACACAAGGCAGTTGAGTAGAAATCTGGGTGGGATTGGGTTGGAGAAAAGGAGTGCCAAGGAGTCTGGGAAAAGGTGAAGACTGGGAGCACTTTCCCTGGGGCAGAAGGAAGAGTAACACTTTCAGGGATTCTGCTATTATGTCAAAGCCTGAGGTGGGCAAGTGGGCAGCACCTCACTCCATAGAGCCAACACCCAAAATACAGAATGAGCAAGCAGGCTGAGCTCTTAATTCCCACTTCATCCCCAAGCCCTACCTCGTATCCCCTCCACTTACCCAGTGCCTCAGAGGCCCAGGGTATATGAGACTCAACGTCCGAAAGCAGCTGGGGTAGCTCGGTGAGTAGGCTGGAGCACTGCTTCTGCATGTAGAGGACTCCTGGGTGCTGGGTCTGGCCCTCCAGCACATCTAGCACACAGCTCAGGGGCAGGCGGCGCTCAGCAGGCATCACAAAGCGGTCCCCTCTCACAGCATCTGCATAACCATCTGGGGTCACAGCCACAGTTACCTCTGTGGAACCCACTGTGGCTCTGGAGGGATGGACACTTGGTCTGTAGTCAGCTGCTAGTGATCACTGCCCCACCACCAGCCCAAGAAAGTCCTTACCTTAAGTAAGAGAAAGACCACTTTTGGAGGGCTGGCCAGTGCTTCAGAGCATTGCGGATGATGCAGGGCCTGTTGGGGCACACCCAATCCCGGTAGAAGCAGAGTGGAGTCGGGGGCTCATCCAGGTAGGGCACAGTAAAAGGTACACTGAGGTCTTAGGAAGATGGAAGGGGGGGGTTAAGGCAGTGGCACTCAAACTGTCACACTGCCTACATAAGAAATCCTCCCTTGTGGAAGTCCTGGCCAAAGTTGTTGCTGACCAAGGAACAGTGGACCCCTCACTTCCTTGCCCTGAAGAGGCAAACTCTCAGCATCTATTAGGAATGGGAACCACTGAGTTGGTGGCCATGGGTTGGTCAGGGTGGGTGGGGCATGGTTCTGGGAAGCCCCTCTGTGGTAGTTTGAATGTGAATGTCCCCTTAGGCTCCAAATATTTGAACACTTTGTCCCTAGTTGGTGGCACTGTTTATGGAGGTCTAGATGGGGCCTAGCTCGAGGAAGCACACAGCACTAGGGGCAAGTTTTAAAAGAATATAGTTTGCTTACTTCCAGTCTGTCTCTCTCTGCTTCCTAAGCCTTCCTAAAGTTGTGAGGGCTTTTTTTCTGCTCCAGCAGCCTCCTGCCATGCTTCCCTCACCATGATGGACTCTCATCCCAGAAGCTCAATAAACTCATCCTTTTATAAGTTGCCTTGGTCATGGTGTTTTATCACAGCAGTAGAAAGTAATAACACACTCCAAAAGTGATACTGAGCACCTGGAATGGGCCCAGCACTGGACCTGGCCAATTTGGTTATCATAGGATGATTCCATCATCTCAAGCAACTTATATCTTATCTGGTGAGATAAACTACCAGATGACAACACTAGAGTGGTAGGGGCTAAAGTGTGTTCTAGGTCTCACTGAACAGTAGCAGCATCCTTAGCTATCCAGGCCAACACTTGTGTAGTATGCTACCTGTGAGGATATCCAAAGTGGTTCTGTGTCATACTTCAGTTGGGTGTGGTGGTGTATACCTGTAATCCTACCACCTGGTAGGTAGCAGCAAGAGTATTAGGAGTTCAAAGCCATCCTCAACCACAACCATTTTTTTTTTTTTTTTTTTACTTGCTTGTTCATTGGTCTGTCTCCCTCAGCAGAATAGAAATACCACAATGGCTTGAATGCTTGTCCTGGTTTCTGATATATCTCTAAAATAGCATCTTAGCACGCAGCAGGTGCTCAGTTAAATATTTGCTCAAAAATCAAATGAAAGTGTTCTACACTCTCGTTGGATGGTAGCTGCAAGGAACAAAATGGTCTTTCTGGTGGAATCCCACTCCTACTCAGGGCATCCATCATTTGAAATTACAATCTCATCCTGTCACATACCTAGTGAAGGATCCTTCCTTTGATGGCTTACCACTACTTCTGATAGAATTCACTCTGCCTTGGCACCCATTCAGGTAGTTCCATGACTAGGTCCAGCCTTCTTTTCCAGTCTGATTTGCTCTTGTCTCATGTCAAGCCCCAACCACTATTCAGGCAGTGCTGGGCTTTGTTCCTGCTGTTCACTCAAGTTGGAATGCCTTTCCCCTGGCCTTCATGAAAACATAGCGCTATGCTTTATGTCGCTGCAGTTATTGCAACCTGTGACAAGTAGTTATGATACTCATCTTTACCTCCAAGATTATGCTCCATGCTGGTTACATCTCCATGCTGGTTTCCCTGCCTTGCAATCAGTCAGAAAGTGTTTATCTATAAATCAGAAATTGGAACTGGGCCCAGGAAAACTGCAAAGGGAGTTCGTGTTCTTGCTGCCCTGGATAGGGGCAAGATAATTGCCAAGTTGACGTTGGAGGGAAGAAATGCAGCCCCAAAAACAGTCACCCTAGGAGTGAGCTGGGGCTCAGGACAACTCTGAGTTGCCTTTCGAGTCTTATTATTTCCAATGCTTGGGACTGAACCTAGGGCTTCCTGCATGCTAAGAAAACATTCTACCAGTGAGCTACACTCTGGGATTTCTATCTTTTGGATTTTCTGTAATGATGTCAGTTTTATTTGTTCACCATTTCCTTTAGAGAATGGTTATTTTTATCTCTTGGGGCTTTAAACTGATATCCAAACAATTTCTTTGACCCAGAAATTCTTCTGCTAAGAATTTAACTGACGTGTGTGTGTGTGTGTGTGTGTGTGTGTGTGTGTGTGTGTGTGTGCGCATAAAGACTGCTCCAGGCTCACTGGTTTCACTGTTTCCTCTACATAACAGGCATACACCCTGGGAGGGCACCACTGGCCCTATACTATCTTCTGACCTACTTCTGTATAACACAGGTAGAAAAAAAAAAAAAGACTGTTTCCTCACTGAGAATGTAAGACGGAAAATTTTTTGTTTCTGTGTATGTGTATGGTGTATGCCCATATGCAATGTGTGTGTGCAGGTACATGTGCCTATGAATGCACATATGGAGGCCAGAGACTGTCATCAGGAGTCTTTACCATTCTGTATTTTCTGAGGCAGGGTCTCTCACTGAACCTGGAGATTACTAATTGGCTTAGACTCACTAGCCAGTAAACCCCTGGGGCCCTCCTGTTCCTGAGCTCTGGAACTGCAGGCACACACCATTGCCATGCTTTTTATGTGGGTGCTGGGGATCTGAACTCAGTTCCTCATGCTACGCAAGCACTTTACCCACTGAGCAATATTTAATAAATATTTAAAAATTTTTATTTATTATTTATTTATTTGTCTTGAGACAGGGTCTCCCTGCAGCCCTAGCTGTCCTGGAACTCACTATGTAGACCAGGCTGGCCTTGAACTCACAGAGATCCGCCTGCCTCTGCCTCCAGGGTGTTGGGATTAAAGGCACACCGCCATTTATTTATTTTTATATTTTATGTATGAATGTTTTGCCTGCATGTATGCATGCACCCATGGCATGCAATGCCCGTGGAGGCGTACAATCCCCTGTAACTAGAGTTATATAGATGGTTGTTAGCTGCCTTGAGGGTGCTGGGAACTGAACTTGGGTCCTCAGCAAGAGGAGCCATCTCTCCACCCCAGACTGTTTTAACAATGTACCCTAAATACACTCTGTAATTGAGATGCTGGTAAAGGCACTTGCCAAACCTAAACACACTGAACCCATTCTGGAACGCAGAAATGCTTTTAAAAATTGTGGAAGTGAATAGTTAAGTATTCACTGCAGAATTACTGAAAACAAGAGCCTAAAATTACTCCATGCCTATCAATAAATGGGTTGATCAAACTGGAACACTGGTCCAACAGGCTTGAAAAACTGAGGCAGAGGAATTTGGGATGCCCTCAAGGACACAGTGCAGAAAGAGTATTATTAGCAGATACAATAAAGGGTGTACAGATAAAAGAGTCTCTGGAAAGATGATGAGAGAGCAGCTTACTTTATTAAATTATATACAAATGTGCCTGAGCTGCTGTTCAGCAAGGAATTATTTAATAACAGAAAGAAGGAAAAAATGGGGGAGTGAGGAACAAAGAGGAAAGGAAAACAAACCTAGCAGAACAGCCAAGATTACTTGGGCAGCTGCTTACAATCCTAAATTTCTTAGTGTCCACAGCTTCCAACGGGCTCTGAATGAAGATCACTGCTTCCTGGAAGGAAGGGGAGGACCCACCATCACCTGAGAGATTTGATGTTTAAGGAGTCTTCTGTTCTTAAGTGCAGCAATGCATAGCCCAGGGACTCAGCACAGGGCTGGCTTTGGAATGGCAGCAAGACCGCGATCAGAGCTGCACTGCCTTGAGCATAAGGGCAACAGCCACCTCCAGGAAGTCATCAGAGCAAGCGACTTAAGAGCGGAAGACTCGCCTGCCTATAAGGGAAGGCTGATTGACACCAGAAGAAAAAAAGCGTAGCAATCAGCCACTCAAGCACACACCCTTTGAGCTCCGGGAACCCCACGGTCCCTCCACTTGGTCCTCCCCAGGACTGCGCACCCTCAGCGCCAGCCCACTCACCGCGGGCAGCCACCGGAAAATCTCGTAGTGCCCTCCTCATGGCGTCTAGAGCCGCCTCCGCCATGACGCCCGCAAACAGAGGCCCCGCCCCTCCCCTCCCCAAGTCAAGCCCGGCTCTAGCCCGCTGCTGGCCCAAGGGGGTGGTATATGAGCGACTCTTCTTCAGGTTGTGAACTTCCCAGTTAACAAATGATCGTGTTTATTGACTTTATACATGAGTAAAAACCGAGACATTAAAAACAGCCCCACCCCTTACCGCCAGGGAGGAGGCAGGCGCCAGGGCCACGACAAAGTATAAAAGTCATAAATAGGCTGGGCATGCGCCCTTGCTGCGTGCCCTTCACCGGCAACGAGGAGCGGCCAGCGTAGGGAGGCCAAGTTGAGACGGTCGAGTCCGCCCTCAGAGAGGCGGAGCAGGCGAACCCCCAAGGTGGGGCTGGAGCTGTGGAGGTGCAGGCAGCCGGGGCTGAGGGGCAGCGAGCGGCTGCTTGGAGCTCTAGGTAAGGCCTCCCGGGTTGAGGTGGGGAGGCAGCGGCCCTCCCGTCAGCCAGTGAGGCGATGGTGGCACCTTGAAGTGGGGGATACCTCGGGTGGGGCTAGTTGGGGGGGGGGCAGCCAGGTGCTGGAGTTGGTGCTCTACCTGGACTTGTGGGAGCTGTGGAGCTGCGCCCTGGTGTGCAAGCATTGGTTACTGCTGCCCGCATGGAGAGGTGTCGGGGAGCCTGAGCACCAGAAGCCTACAGAAGAGGCTCTGCCTACCGACATTCTTTGCAACCTGCCCAGCTACAAGGCCAAGAAAATCTTTGAGAGGGTTTCACAGAAGCGTGTAAATCATTCATCTGGGTCTTCAAAAGAAAGAATGCTTGCATGGGTTGAGAAAGCCTCCCTCAAAACCTATACCCAAAGTGTAAAAATGTACCTCAAATGAAGAAATACAAGGTTACAGCCATTCACATCAGATTTTTGTGTAGAGCGAGTCACAGAAATGTCATCAAAGGAAGACCAGGAAAAGACTGATAGCAATGAAAATATGAAACAAAGGAATTTCAAGTCATTAAATTCAGACCAAGGGAAATATGTTCAGCAACCAAGGAAAAGCGAAAATGGTTGGTCTTTATCTGTTCCCAAAATATCAGTGCGCCTCAGAGGATATGGGCTATTTGGCTGGAGCTCTGCATCAAAAAACAGAACTACATCAAGTACAGTAGTGAAAGGCAAACAGCGACATCTACAGAAGAGCAAAGGAGGTCTGATAGCTGTAGAAGCAGAGAACCAGTTCCTGTGTCTAAGGATCTTTTGCCTGGGCCTGCAATGCCAAGAAGAGAAAATACTGCAATTGATGAAATAAAAGTATTTTTAGACTCTCCAAAGGAATATCCTCCTCTGTTCAAGCCTACTGTTAAAAGAAAAAGTTCATTTCTAAACAAAGCAGCAGCTAAGATGCTGGAAGAGACATGCCAATCAGAACCATGAAGCGTGACATCAAGAGAGGAAGAAAGGATGACAACCACCAAAGTGTACAGTCGTTGTCTGAGACTCCTGTGCAGGAGGATGTGGTTGATTTAGCTGTGACTCCAGATCAAAGACAAAAAAATGTAACGAGCAGAAATGAGACACTGTCCTTCTGAGCTCAGAGACAGACTCGGCGCCACTGGGAAGAGCGAACGGTTTGGCCCTCCATGTTCTCCTTGATACTTCAGGCCAAGGTGGCCTCCCCGAGCAGTGGGGAAGACATACAAGGAATCAGCTGTGCAAAATGGTGCTGGAGGAGCCTTATTTGTACACAGAGATACTCCTGAGAATAACCCAGATACTCCATTTGATTTCACACCAGAAAACTATAAGCGGCTAAAGGCAATTGTAAAAAAACTATCCTGAAGGGCATAAGGCAGCAGCTGTGCTTCCAGTCTTGGATTTAGCCCAAAGGCAGAATGGATGGTTGCCCATCTCTGCTATGAACAAGGTGGCTGAAGTTTTAAAAGCGTCTCCAATCAAAGTATATGGAGTAGCAATGTTTTTTATTTTTTTATATGTATGCGTGTATTGCCTGCACATAGGTAAGTGCACCCGTGTCGTGCAATGCCCACAGAGGTTAGAAGAGGCTGTCAGATCCCCTGGGACTGACGTCACAGACAGTTGTTAGCTGCCATGTGGGTGCTGGGATTCGAACCCGGGTCTTTTGCAAGAACAACCAGTGTTCTTAACCACTGCGCCACCTCTCCAGCCCCTATACAATGTATAATCAAAAGCCAGCTGGAAAGTATCACATTCAAGTCTGCACTACTATACCTTGCATGCTTCAAAATTCTGACAGCATACTGGAGACCATTTAGAAAAAGCTGGGAATAAAGGTTAGGGAGACTACACCTGCAAACTTTTCACTCTTACAGAACTGGAATGTTTAGGGGCCTGTGTAAACGCACCAATGGTTCAAATAAATGACACTGAGGATCCGACACCCAAGGATATAGAAGAAATCATTGATGAGCTCAAGGCTTGCAAAATTCCGAAACCTGGGCCAAGGAGTGGACGTTTCTCTTGTGAGCAAGCTGGAGGTCTCACTTCTTTTACTGAACCACCTAAAGGACCTGGTTTTGTTGTGTAAGCAGGCCTTTATATTCAATTGTAAAGATACCACTGGAAAAATAAAATACGAACCTCCTATCTAAAAAAGCAGAAATGAAAGAGACTGACAAGGAAATGGCATCAACAGAAGAGCAAAGAAGTCCTTATGGCAGTGAAAAATGTCAAATGCACAAGTGAAAGCAGAACCAGGCAAAGAAGCGACATCAACAGAAGAGCAAAGAAGGTGTGATAGCAGTGAAAGAGTTGAGCCATTGGCTAGGAAGGAAGATGTGGATCACTTAGCTAGGCCTGAGAACAAAGAAGTAAAAATACGACCGGAGGTGGAATGAAAGGTTCTCCAAAGAATATCCTCCTCAGTTTACACCAATTATAGAAAGGAAAGGTTCATTTCTAAACAGAGCACTTACAAGGATGTATGGAAGATGATGCCTATCAGATCTACGTAGAGGAGTATCAACAGAAGAATCAAGAAGGCATGCTATCCATAAGGGTGTTTGATCAGTGACTGATTCTGAGCCTTGCACAGGAGGTGGTGATTTATTCAGCTTTGCCTGTAGATCAAAGAGAAAACATGACAAGAGCAGAAAAGAACCAGGTAAAGAAATGATGTCAGTGAACAAAGAGATAAACTGAAAAAGTTTCATCACTGGCTAGAAAGGAAGATGTAGGTCATTTAGCTGGGCCTACAGAATGAAGGAGTGAAAATATGACAAGAGGTGAAATGGAAGAATCTCCAAAGGAATGTCCTTAGTTCACACCTACTACTTAAAGGAAAGATTCAGTTCTAAACAGAGCACTTAGAAGGATGTATGGAAGATCATGCCAGTCAGCTTAAAGAAAAAAGGCATAGCAAAGAAATGAAATACATATAGCAGTAAAATCATGTGACAGCAATTTTGCTGCTGGTGACATTGCAGCTGCTGCTGCTGCTGCTGCTGCAGCTTCTGATACTGGTCCTGAAAATGTATCCATTCTACATATCAAGTGTGAGAAGGCTGATAAACAGCCATTTCCTGTTCCAAAGGAAGAGCATGTTGGGCTGAATAAGAAAATACCTGATGATAAGAAGAAGACTACAAAACATATCAATGCTATGGATGACTGTCAGGTATCTCTGTTGGTCTCTGAGGATTATGATTTGCCTAATTTTGACCCCATAGTAACACTATTACTTAACCAACTTCAAATGGACTATAAAGACAACAGCACAAAGAAACTCAAGACACTGCGGGTAATATAAGAGAAAACCATAAAGCCTCATTCTTCAGGCCACAGGGACTCACAGTTACAAACCAGCCATCTGAACTCTTTGAAGAAACAATTCTCCATGCTTCAAAGAAAGCAGAACTGAAAAAAAAAAAGTGCGCATCACCATCTACAATGAGAAGAAACTGCACATTCTTCATCACATGAAAAACTAAAGTTAAAAAGAATGCGGGAAAAGTTCAACAATTCTCCGAAGAATTGTTAGTGACAGAGGGAAAATTACTAATTTAAAATCATATGAAAAAAAGCAGTTATACATACAGTATCCCTACATGAGTCCATGTGCCAAACAGGAGATACTCCCTTCGAGTTGTTGGCCAGAGTAATCCAAGAGACTCCCCAAATTACACAGGCTATTGCCATAGCCCTTGATTGCCTCCAAGAACTTGACCCTATTGCTGAAGACAGGACATACTTCTGACACAGGACTCAGAGCAATGGAGCTGGAACTGACCTGGAAGTCACCTCCCTGAAAGTCACCTCATAGTTTTGGAGAGCACTATGCAAACTGCTAAGAGAGAACAATTGATGAACCAACCCCAGCTTTAAGGCCTAATAACCACAACAATGACTGGCACAGCAAACTCTATTGATGCAGCAGTGGCACATTTATCTTGGGGATAATCAACAGCTACCTAGTTGGACTTACAGTCCACTCAATGAGAGGGAACTCTTGTGTGGTACTGTAAACATAGCCAAATACACATGGCTGGAGAGGTCGTAGATCTTAGAGAAGACCCCAAAGCTGTCACATCCCTAGACAAATGTAATTTCTTAGTATGTGTTAAGTATATTGGAGCCTTGCATTTACAGACAAGTATGCCAGTCACCACACATCAAAGAAGCTTCTTCTGCAACGGATGGAGATGTCTACAAAATTCACAAGTGGTCACACAGAGATAAGTGTCTGAAATGCCCAACCCAAGTGACACATCTACAATGGAACCTCTACACCTAAGGCTTATATAACCTAGTGGAACAAATGGGATAGAGAATACTAATGCATCTTTCAACCTGAAGCTCCCTCATGCAACAAAGGGCCATGAACACAAAGGGACACAGATGGCCAAAGCACAGAGAATAAGATGTAGGTCCTTGGATAGGACTCCCATATTAAACCACCCACTCAGGGCTTAGGGACCATTGCAGAAGAGGGGCCAGAAAGACTATAAGAGCCACGGGAGGAGGTACATGACCACATGGATACAGTCTTACAGGCTCCTGGGACCTTGCACGTAACGAACTTACAGCAATGGTGACAGCATGCACAAGATTCATGCAAACACAAGCAGACAAAAGCCTAGCATAGAACTGTGGAAATGGGCAGCAGGCCCCAACCTTGGCCGAGTAACTATTAGACAGCTGATTACTCCTGAGTGAGGAAGAGCTGATCTTTAAAGGAATGACTCTAGATAGGCTGACTAGACCCCAGTGGATGAATGTTCACTGAAAGATGTGAAGGCATACTAACTTGACGTGATAGGCCTTAACATAAATGACAGAATGCATGAAATCCAGAGGAGGAGGTGCTAGAGGAGGGTGCTGATGGGGAACGGGGTATAAAGATGATTAAGATGTTGTATATGAGATAGGTAAATATTAAAATACAGAAAAAAAGAATTGTGAAAGAGGTTCATGAGACTGATGTGAAAGCCAGACAATATAATTTTCAAAATTTAGAAAACAAGAACCTAGAATTTGGGTGTAGTGTGCTCTATTCCTTGATAAAAGTCCTATGAAAGCCAGTGAAGCCGAGGCAGAGTGTCCAGAAACCAGGCATATGCTAGCAAGCCTAGTACTCTGATGATGAGCACTCAAACTGTGTATATGATTTCATCTGTGGCAAGGTCCTAGGAAGGTGGGCAGGTGCCCTGTAAACCATGAGGGAAATTCCAACACAGGCTTCTGACTGAGCATCACTCAGGATGCAGAGTGAAAGTGGTGGCCTTAGTTTGCATTTGCCCAGCAGAGGACTTTTACTGTCCTGCAGCAACATCCCACAGCTGGCTCTACAAGGACTGGCCAGGAGAGAAAGGGTTGGGGTGGGGGATGTAGACAATGCTGGAGTCCTCTTGTAGGGAGAATGGGAGTGGAATGTGGGGGCTCAGGTCCTGATACCAACTCAGGTTGTCTGCTGGCTGGGAATACCCTGGGCGGCCAGGCAACTCTGCCTTTCTAAACTGCCAGAAATTGGGGAAAATCACCCCTGCTATGGCAGCCAGGATAGTGCAGCTGGTGTGGGAGGGGAAGCAGAGGTGAAGGTCTACAGTTGGCTTTAGGGCACTAAATACTACATCACCTCTTACCTCTACCCCATAGAGTACCCTGTGTATGCTCCACTCCAGGGAGCTGATCCCTGAAGTAACTTCAAATGGCTTCTAAGAAGAGAAGGCCACCCTTCCCAATGTCCCTCAATGAGGCAGGCTACCCTCTTATCCTACACAGCACCAAGATGACAAAAGACCCAAGACCTACCCTGCCATGAGCCACTGGAGGGCTTTAGAGGCAGGAGTTTCAAGGAAGTGAGGCAACAGTCAGGGAAATAAATTAATAAATACAGGGGCCCCATGAGGAACAGCTGGGAAAGCTGCTTTGCCTTTGAGCACTGACCCCTGCTGTCCATTCCAGACATTCTTACAGGTTTGGATGAGTGGAAGAGGGGTTACAGTTTGGAATGGGGGAGCATTTTCTCAATGCAGGCTTCTGGAACTCAGAGTCTGCGTTCCATGCGCCGCTCCACGGCTCGAAGCAATAGCTCTGAGTATTGCTCTAGCAAGGCCTGAGTTTGCTCAGCTCCCACAGCCCCAGGGCTACCACCTGGGCTGGACAGTGGAGCCCCAGCCAGGGCCTCTAGCTCTTGCCGCACTGAAGAGAAGGTGTCTCTCAGGAGCCGAGTGATGTGACTTTGCTCTGCTGAAGGTGTCTTACAGCTGGCCACCTGCAACAAGACCCCTGGAAGTGAGTTGGAGGAACAGTAGAGGGTACTGTTGATGAGTATTGAAAAGAAGGTTCTACCTGGACCTGCCCTGCTCCAGAGGGGACTTGCCAGGAGTTTCACACACAAGATCAATATGACCCAGAGGATAACCCAGAGGAAGAACCATCTACTTCTTGACCAACAATAACTCTTCCCAACAACTCACATAGGCTGAGTTTTCACTTTCAAATTTGGGCCCTTTGGATTGTCTAGTATGCCCAAACAATTTCTGGATATGAAAAAGGATACTATGAAATTAGATACTAAGACAACAGACATAAGCTGGGATTGCACAGAACAAATTAGGACATATAGTCTTTCTATGTCACATCCCTGTCTGAGATTTCCAGTTCTTAGCCAGAAATGACCAACAGATGCCAAGTTCAAGAGGTCTGGTCTGGCCTCTGACCCTCTCTTACCTACTCTGCCCAGGATATTCTTGAGTGTTCCAACCTGTCTATGGAAGAACCCTTATCATTATTATTCTAGATACTCAACTATTAAACATCTAGCACTACTGACATGCTGTCTTCCCACTGGTTGGTGCCCAATACTCACCAAGTGGTAAAGCCGCACAGCCTGACGTACATTCCCCTGGAGCTCTGCCACAAGCTGTTCACACTGTTGCAGGCTCAAGGCCAGTTCTGAGGGACAGACACCATTTAGTGAGGTTTGACAAGCTGCCCTTTCAGGTCTCCCCACCCAGGGCACTCAAAGTAGCACTATAATTCCCATCAGCCTTTAGTCCCTTCTTCTTGCCCCATTCCCTTAGAACACATTCTCAATACCACACAGACAAGATTTAGAGGAGAAAGGCAGCCCTGGTCTCAGTGTCCAGAATGCACTGAAGGGTTAAGTGAGTCACAGGGAGATCATGAGGGTTGGCAGGAATGTCTCAACATTAGGAGTGTGACTTATGGATCGAGACAGGAGCAGACAGGACAGCAAAGGCTGGATGCATAGAAATGGGATGGAGCCAGAAAGCGGTTAACAAATACAGGAAAGAAAGGATAGGGGAAAGAGATGAGACTGGGGAGCTGTGCACACCTGAGTCCTGGCTCAGGGCTGCCCCTGGCCTGGTGCATTCCATGGGGTTGGGAGTCTTCTTGGGGGATGGGGGCTGAAAGTTCTCAGGGCCTTGGAGGAGGCTGCTGACTGGCAGTTGCTGGGCACAAGGGCTGTTGGGCCCAGAATGAGCTTGGCACTCTGTCCTACGCTTAGGAGTGGAACCCTCCCCCAAACAGGCCTGCCTCTCAAATGTAGTATGAGCTTTTTGTAGACCCATTGGGGAGCCAGGCTGCTCTGCTTCATTTGGGACCCGGCCCTTGGTTATAGGGGAGAAAGTGGTCAGAGTAGGACGATCAGGCAGTGGTTTGGGGATGTCCAGAACAAGGTGAGCACGGCTGGGCAGAGCTAGCTTGCTGACTGGTGAGATTCGGATGGGCACAGCAGGTTCAGCCACCAGGCCCGGGTTCTCCCCAACAGAGATGCTGCGGGCTAGCTTGGCCATAGAACTGGTGTTGGGGTTCTGGTAGGAATGGGGCTGAGATGGGTAACCATCAGCCCGTGGCAAGGAGCCCAGGCTACCCTGGACCTCCATCTCCCGGGAGAGCAGTGAACCTGATGAAGGCACCTCATCTGCAGAGAGGACAGAGACAGATGCAGATCAGGTGGTGAGGAAGGCATCTTGGGTACTAGAACACAATTCCTAGTTGATGCTGTTCCCTTGTACATGCCCAGTAAGGGACATCCAGTGGAAAGCATAGAGACATACCAGGGTCACACCAGACCCACCCTCTTCCAGAATGCCCATATGTCCCACATTCCCCACACCCTGGAGCTGAGCCCACCAGGCTCCTCACTTTGTGGCACTAAACTGTGCACAGACTGGGCTTTCTGGAGTCCAGCTAAAGGGCGGGTTATAGTCACTCTCTTGGGGATCCAGCTGCTGTCCAGGTTGTTACGGCGGCGTGGCAAGAGCACAGGGGCTGCCTGCTGGGGGCTGGGGTTTCCAAGAGAGGGTGCTCCAGGGGGATTGGAATCACTGCCTCTCAGCTGCTCACCAGACACCTGTGACACCTGGTCAGGTCTTGACATCAGGGTCAAGCTTGAGGAGGATGGGGATGGTTCCCTATAAGAAGAAAGGGTAGAAGAAGGTCCAGACAAGACTGTGTTTCTCCTTCAAAGATGGCCAGAAGCTCTCACAGCTACAGAAGCACTAGAAGACAGTCCTTTGTCTCCAAACTAGGAGTTTAAAACACCCTTGCATGCTGGGTGTGGTGGCGCATGCCTTTAATCCCAGCATAAGGGAGGCAGAGGCAGGCAGATCTCTGTGACTTCAAGGCCAGCCTGGTTTACATAGTGAGTTCCAGTCCAGCTGGGGCTACAGGAAGATCCTATCTCGAAAAAGACCAAATAAATAAATAAATTAATTAATTAATTAATTAATTTAAAAAAACAGCCTTGCAACTTATACAAGGTACAGGAACACTAGCAGGTCAGCAGAGCCAAACTGGTGTGGGGAGCAGTCTTTGTACCTGAGTGGCGGGGTCTGCACTTGCAGGAGGAATCGTGATGAGATGCTCCGAGGCTCTGTCCTCTCTAGGACCCGCACTGGACCCCCTTCAAGAGGCACAGAAATCATGGATTGAGTCAAAAATCAAGCCCTTGCCCAAGGTCTTGCCTCCCCTACAAAGGAACCTAAGGCACTGCCTTTCATTCCCTCCATCTCAGTTAGGAAAGGACGGGAGGAGGGCAGACTGTAGTGACCAAATGCTGGCCCTCTGACCACACCTGGAGCAGCCCCATTGGCCAGAGTCTCAAAGTGCTGTTTTAGAAACTGCTCCTGATCCGGGGTATGTGGGCTGCCTTCTTGTAATGCACAGAAGCCAGTGCCTCCCTCCTCTTCCTCTTCTTCATCACCCTCGGCTGGCTCTTCAAGGTCTGAGGAGATGCCATCCACACTTAGGGGCTCCGTGCTCTCAGAGTCTGGATGTGGGGGAGGGGAGAGGCATTACGCTGCACCCATCTGTCACGGCCTCCTCCCCTGCTTCAGCCAATTGTCCCCTCCCTTATGCTGTAGCCTCACCTTCATTGGGGTGCTCAGGGCTGGAAAGGCGGCTGCTGCTGTAATCTACAGAGCATGCGCTGTCAGGACTGTGCTTTTCTGAGCCCCTGCTGCCTGGGTACACTCTTCTCAGGGATCCTCGAGTTGGAGCCTGCACCTGAAACACACTGCCAGGAAGGCCAGCAAGGAAAAGAAAAGGCAGTGAGCAGAAGAGACAGAAGCCCCACTAGACTTCTATCTGTGATTAGGTGGGAGGGAAACTCTGACTGGCCTAGGGGCCAGCCATGCTCTAACTAAAACAAACTCAAGAGGGAAGACTGGGGATTACAAGGTCTCACAAATTCTGACTAGGGCACGACCCTTGCCTGGTATCCATGGAAGGGCAGTCACTGAGCTCCGGGTAGACAATACCATCCTCAATGGATGCAGGCTCCAGATCTTGAGCAAAGACTCCTTCTTCTTGTGACAACAATTGGATAATGTGGGGGCAGGAACAGGGTTGGGAAGCCTGAAGTTGAAGGGGCTTTTCATTCTGGAAACACAGAAAGGGGCACTTAAGGGGGCGGCTGATATGAGAAGAGTTTTAGAGAACAGAATGGGCAAGGATTTGGTGAACACCAATTCTGAGGAAGCAGAACATTCCAGCTCCAAGGACAGATACCAAGAAGCCAGGCTGGGCTCTAGCTGGTATTGTGAGCTTCTAGGAGAACTATATTAGCATTCTGGATTGCCAAGCTCCAGCTCCACTCAATACCAAGAGTCCTCAAAGGAGCTACCTTTGCCTTTCTGCCTCAACCCCTTCTCTGCCCACCCAGTCACCATACCATAGAGCCTGGCCAGCTCTATACTACTTTGCATTTCAGGGAACCCATGTGCTGCAGAGACAGAGTAAGCATAGCTGTACTCATGCTCAGACCACAGTTGTTAGCACAAGGCTTGTTAAGGTTCCCTGAGCTCTCTGGAGAGCTGGGAGAAAGCTGGCTCACCTGGCTAGCACATGAAGGCTCAGGGGCCTGTGAACCACGCTTCCCAGGACTGGATGGGGAACCAGCCAGTGAGTCCTGGCTAGGGCCACAAGGGCTTGGGGCTAGGGTCTCCAGCTGTCGCAAGTCCAGCATGGAGCGAACACTCAGCTCCATGCCTGGCTGAGCCCAGCGACCCCTTCTTTTGGGTCCCGAGTTGGCTACAGGTACTGCGCCCAGGAACTCCGTGGTCTCTTGTGCCTGGTGGTTGTAGGTGGAGAAGTAATAACAGTAAGAATCACATATGCTATTAATGAACACTCATGTATGCCTTACTGTGTGTCAGGCCCTTTCCATGTACTAGTTCATTTTATCTTTATAATGACCTTATAAAGTAGATATTATTATCCCCTTTCTTACACATGAGGGAATCAGAATCACAGAGGATTTCAGTGACTAGCCCAAGTTCCACACACTGTAAATGGCCTGCAGGTTAGGCTGGCTCTAGAGTACATGCTCTGAGCTGCATTCTATATCCTCACAATAGGAACCTCTAGTCTCTGCCTTTTCCTAGTATCTTACATATCCCAGAGCTAGGACTCACTTAATAGTTCTGTACTCTGGGACACCACCAAAATGGTCCCAAAGGCCCTTCAATGCACTAAGGACAAACCAATCGCCCAGGCCTGAGACCCCTGGCACTGTCAGATAGCACCAGAGACTTCACGTCATCATCATTCTGTGGAGCTGCTACTAACAATACAAGGTCCAAGGCTCAAAATCCCAGCTTGGGAAAGGTGAAGGCTGAGCTGCTTTGGGGCTTACTCTGAAACCCTTTATCTCACTCTGGCACTCTGAAATAGTGACTCAGCAATTGATCTTCTTGTAGCCTTTTCCTTCTAACTGTTCTGAACTTTCTTACTGGGGTCTTTAGAACTACAGTTTCACCGGGTGTGATGGCACACGCCTTTAATCCCAACACTTAGGAGGCAGAGGCAGGCGAATCTCTGTGAGTTCAAGACCAGCCTGGTCTACATAGTGAGTTCCAGGCCAGCTGGGACTACAGGGACATCATGTCTCAAAAAGACCAAAAAAAAAAAAAAAAAAAAAAACCCAGAACTACAGTTTCTCCAGATTTCTGTTCATTGGACCTTTGGTTTCCCTGGACTTTGGTTTTAACCATGTGACTCACATAGCCCTTTTTACTCCCCACCACAAGCTGTTCTTGAATGGTATTTCTCCCAAGCCCTACTAGGCAGCTGAGTAGACAGAACTCTCCTAGTGGTGACTAACCTTGTCTGACATAAGAAGGAAAGACAGCGGCTCCCCTTATCCCTAATCCTGGACCGGCCCAGCTGCTTGAACTGCATTCACAAAGCTTTCCTTGTGGGCAGACCCTGAACCCAAAGGCCTTATGAGGCACAGATAACTCTGTTGCAACCCCATCACTTCCTATAACCTTGGAAGCACATTTCATGATGGCAACTCACCTGACTCATTTCCCAGTGGGACAGGCTTCGGAGCAGGGTTGGGGCTACATAGAAACAGGTAGTCAGAGAGAGTATCTCCTACCCACCCAGGGCCCCATATCAGCCCAGTCCCTGTGTGACCACTGTGATGGCTCAGTTTCCTTACCCTGTGGTTCCAAATAGGGTCCATCTGGCCATGACACCAGCTAGTGCCTGTGTGCCTCACACCAGACTACAACATACCTGGCTCTTCCTTGGTACTCTTGGTAAGGATGGGCAGAGCTGGCAGTTCTTCTTCTTCAGTGCCCTCATCTTCTCCCTCCTTGTCACTGTCTGATGAGAGAGCTGGTGCAGGAGAGGGGATCACGGGAGTCTTGTGCCTGAGTCCAAGACAAGGAAGGTCATGAGGAGAGGAGACCCAATGGGGGAAGAAGTCAACAGGATGGGTTTTTACAGGATAGGTTTTTGCAGGAAAAGGTCTTGGGAGACAGAAGAGTTGCTGAATGCAGGGAGTGCAGCAAGCCCATCAGAATATCAACTCATCTCTTGCCCATATTCCCTACTTACTGTTTGGGTCCAGGAACCTTTTGGGGAGAGACTGGTCCTTGCTGTTTGCCCCCTCGCTGGCGCTGGCGCAACTCAGCCAGACGCTGCCTCATGCTGATGGTCATGTCAGAGCTGAGTCGCCAGACAAATATGCAGCTAGGGTAGAGCCATAGCATTAAGTGAGGAGGGGCAGGGTAGAAGTCTAGAGGTAGTAACACCTTTAGTACCCACGTCCTCATGGATTGGCAAGGCGATCTAAGCCACCCTCCATTGCCAGGTCAGGCCCCACCAACAAACAGCCCTCTTCAGCCCCACTTCCCAGAGACATGTGAGATGAAACGAGAAGGACTAGGTGGTACAGAGGAAGAATCTGTCTCTGGGGGAAGCCAGCTTCTGCTCACCTGTCTCCTGACACAGAGATGAGATGTTTGCAATCATTGCTAAATTTCATGCCAGTGACAATCTCTATAAAGAGCAAAGAATATGTTCTATGAGCTGCCCTGAATGCCCAACCAAACTCCTTGTGGAGATGGGACTGTTTGAAGAGGAGGGTCAGGTTCCACCCCATACTTGGGGGCTTTGTACTCTGAGTGTCAGGATGTGAAGAAGGGGAAAGGTATCAGCTATGCTGTCCCCTTCTGCCATCAGGGCTTCCCACCCCTTGCTTCAGTCAACTGACCACTACTGGCGTGGGGCATGGGCAGAGCTGTAGGAAAACAAGAGACAAGGAAGAAAGAATTCCGAGAATAGAGTAGTGGGGTAGGGGGGGCTACACTCACCTGAGTGACCAAACATAGTGGCCACACACTCGCCTGAGGAGAAGTCAAAAATGGAGAGATTCTTATCAGAACAGCTGGTGGCAATATAGATCCCTGAAGGGTCTGTCTGCACCTGAAGTAAGACAAACAGCTGAAACAATAGGGAAGTACCACTCCCTCCTCATCTAGTACCATTCTATTCCCTAGCCACTTGGTCCTATGCTTGTCCCACTGGGTCCTTACCTTAATGAGGGTGCCATCCTCACCCTGTGACCCTTTAAACAGCTTTTTTTGCTTCCCACTGCTAATGTTAAAGATCCTGTAAAGAAAGACGTTTGTTCACATAAGGAGTGAGAATCAAGCACACTTTGTAGAAACACAAGTATTCACTCCCAACTTATTCTTTCTGGGAGCTCCTTTTTGACACCACAAATTTTACCATGCTCAGGTGAGGCAAAGGACTCTGTGGCCTCAAAGAGGTTCAAAATCCTGAACAAAGACAGATGTGGGGACATAGATGTATGAAAGAATGTGGTCAAAAATCTGGGGTGGGAGGCTGGCAAAATGGCTCTGTGGGTAAAGGAGCTTGCTGCCAAGCCTGAAGACCTGGTTTGATCCCAGGAGATCTATATGATGGAAAAAGAGAACTGGCTTCCTCAAGTTGTTCTCTGTCCTCCAAATGTATTCTGTGGCACACACATGTACCCCCCTACACACACAAAATAAGTAAGTAAAAAAAGTAATTTTTAATAGTCTGAGAAAGGTATGCCCACCTAATATTTCGGTCCTGGCAGCCAATGGCTGTGTACTTCCAGCTGGGCTCAACATCCATGTCATAGAGAGTTGTCTTCCGTACCACATGGTGTGTTCGTGTAAACTGCACTCCATCTCCAGACTGCAGTGGGGAATATGTGGGCAGACCCCACTCCAAATGCATCACCATGTCACAGAGCCCTGCTTCCCTGCTTTTGTCAGCCTTCACCTCTTGTAGCTTCAGGAAGAAGAATGGTAGAGACCGCAATCCCACCCCTAACCTCTTCAAAGGACACCCAGTATCCTTACCTTCTGTGCAGTGCGGAAGTAAATGCTCTTATCTGCTCCACAGCTGATCATGCGCACTTGCCCATCACTGGCTATGGAGGAGGGGGACTTAGTTGTTCCTACCATTTTCATCACATAGAGACAACCTTTCCCCTACCTTCCCTTCATATTTTCCCCCATTCAAGCTACTCTACAACCAATTAAACTAGAATACTTCCATTTAAACCTATCTCCCCATTCTCGGCCCAACATGCCTGGGTCAGGGTCACCTAGACTGAAAGTCTATGGTTCACCTGTCTTCTGACCCAGCCCTGGACTCCCAAGTGCTGTCCAATGATTCCCCGCCACCAGTAGACCCTTCTCATAGGAGTATGGAGCAGTGGTAGGTAGCAGGATGTGTTGCCTAAATTACTCTGTTCCCACCTGCAAACTTGACAGCAGTGATGGAGGATGAGTGTTCGTCCAGCGTCTGCTGTAGACTATATTCCCGTCCAGCATCCAGCACATGAATCAGCCGGTCACGGCTTGCTGATGCTAGCAGCTTCAGACCTAGGGTTGGAAGAATCCCATTAGTCCACATGTACCTTGAGCAGACCCTTAACTATGACCAGTAAAGAGTCCAGGAGACTGAGTCTCATATTCCTAAGCTACATGAACCCAGGATCTATATGATCCCAGGGAGTGGGGACAGAGCTGTCCTCTTTTTAAAAACCTGGAAAGACCAAATGTTTCAAAAGGTTATAGGCCCTACATCAAAAAGCAAAGATAGATATAAGTGGTGCCAGCACAACTGGAGGAGCCCTATGGCATTCTGGGCCAGATACCTTGCCTGTGGCATCCTTCTTACCAGTGTCTGGCTTAGAGTACTCTAGGCACAGGATCTCAGAGTCATGGGCCTCTACCTTCAGCATCTCACTCAGGGACTGCAGTTCATGCACCCTACAAAGATGAGGAGAAGTCACTGCTAGGCTGCAAGAGGAGGAATCCCTTATTCTGCTACATCTTTTCCCAAACTTAAAAAAAAAGCTTTTAAGGTTAAAGAAGAATTGTGAATAGTACAGATATTCTGTATTTCCCTTGCCCAGTTTTTCTTAATGTTAACATCATACATAACAATAGCACATTATCAGAAACAGAAAATTTATACAC